GGGGAGATAAAAAGAGAGAAAGAGTTTTAAATGAAATTGTGTTTGTGTTTGTTACTGTTCGTATGTGTGATTTATTTTACATTATAATGGTAGGACATCCAAAAACTTACTTGTAACATCTGTTGTTGTTGGATCGCCACCCGCAGCAGCAACCAGTCCTTGCAATGGAAAGAGAAAGATATGCGTTCTTAACTAAGGCCTATTAACCCCTACTCCCTCCGGCCTTGGAAAGAATAACAATTAAATAAAAAAATTAAGAAAGAAAGAAAAATGTAAAGCAGGAAGAATGCAGCACTTGTGAAATGAGACGCCTGGGGCCTGAGAAGAACTTTGAACGTCACAAGATGGAAAAAAGGTGAATTGGCATAGGTTTAACGCTCTTATAAACACTGTTAGGTTATTTAAAAGGCAGGGCCTCCCAGTATGACGTCCATCTCCGAAAGGACCGAGCCAAGTGGGAAATATAATGTGTAAAGTGTTTTCCCCCAAGGACACAAAATGGGACAGAGCTAAGGCTCCGCAATCTCACGATTACAACATCACAAGCATCACAAGAGGAGAATTTAAAGGTGAAAAAAGCGACATTCCCGAGAACAAGTTGGCTCAACTCCCTGCTCGGAGTACTTAAAAATACAACCAATAAATTAATGGTTTGGGCATCATAATTTGTCAAGAGTACCACCAGAGATCGAATGGACATAGATGAAGAGGCAGGCCCAGGAAAAGATGGATAGGGTACGTTAGAAGTCAGAGATAGATTAGTCAGAAACAATTGTGTAACCATACAATAGACTAGACGATGCAGCAAACAGGAGAAAAAAATTGCTTCTCTCCTAGACACGGTAAAGTAATAGAGGTAAAGTAAGATAAAGCAAAGTAAGGTAAAGTAAGGTAAAGCAAAGTAAGGTAAGTAAGGTAAGGTAAAGTAAGGTAAAGTAAGGTAAAGTAAGGTAAAGTAAGGTAAAGTAAGGTAAAGTAAGGTAAAGTAAAGGAAGATAAAGGAAGGTAAAGTAAGGTAGAGCAAAGTATGGTAAAGTAAGGTAAAGCAAAGTAAGATGAAGTAAGGTAAAATAAGGTTAAGTAAAGTAAGACAAAGGAAGGTAAAGTAAGATAAAATAAGGTAAAGTATAGTATGATCAAAGTTACAAGTACTCCAAAATCAAGCAGCAAAATTGATAATGAAACAAAAGAAATCAGCCGACGTAACACAAATTCTGAAAGAACTACGCTGGTTGCCAGTAAAAGAAAGGATCAATAAATACAAAACTGCCTTTTTCTGTTTTAAATGTATAAATGAAACTGCACCTATTTATCTAAAAGAATTCCTGGAATTATATCATCCACCTAGAGCCCTTAGATCAGCCACTGACAATCTAATTCTTAGAACCCCAAAACAAAATTACAAAACAGAACGCGAGCGTTCCTTTTTATTCTTTGGTCCCTGTGTATGGAATGAACTCCCATATAAAATAAGGAGTGCCCCTACTATTCGCACTTTCCCAAAACAGCTGAATCATTTCTTATTTACAATGCATACCTTTCAAAACGATAAACTGTTATAATATATGCATGTGTATGCCATACCGCGAGACTGGACAAATAGCGTGTGAGAATGAGAGAGAGATAGATACGAGGCGTAGATAGATAGATAGATAGATAGATAGATAGATAGATAGATAGATAGATAGATAGATAGATAGATAGATAGATAGATAGATAGATAGATAGAGAAAAGAGAGAGTGTGTGTGTGTGTGAGAGAGAGAGAGAGAGAGAGAGAGAGAGAGAAAGAGACAGAGAGAGAGAGAGAGAGAGAGAGAGAGAGAGAGAGAGAGAGAGAGAGAGAGAGAGAGAGAGAGAGAGAGAGAGAGAGAGAATGGAAATGTTTTCTATTTATAGAGAACGAATGTTTTTATTGAATGTTTTTAGCTATCCAAGTTTGAAATTTATTGTGACCGTTCATGAGTTTTTTTCGCTTTTTTTTTTTAGCGAACGCATTGCCAGGCTCACTGTCGGACTATTTTTCTCATATAATTTATATAATACAGACTTCAACATAAGTTAAGGACCACCTTGACAGACAGCCCTGATTTTTTTAAAATCCGAAAAAAAAGACAGCAAGGTCTGTTTCATAATGTGTTGCTCTGAGAGTCTTAACATCACAAGACAAGACAGGCCAAGAAAGAGTAGCTATTGGCACTGAGTCCTGCCTGTATTTCATAGAAAAAAAAAGAGAATAAAATAATTCGGCCTCCAATAACG